GGAAGCGCTGCCACAGCGACTTGTGCAAGGAGGTCTGCAGATGAGCCCGGAGGACGCAGTGGGCAAGAGAGGAGGAGTTAGCATAGCGATAGGTTAGAGGCAGCCATAGCTGCCATAGCTGTAGTTAGTAGTGAGTGTGTGTGTGTGCTTGAGTGTTAGAGTGATGCGTGTGGGATATCCAGGGTGATCCAGTGTATGTGAACAGTGAGATGTTTGGGCGCTGAAGTCGCCATAGCCAATTGAGAGTGAACTCGTATCTGAAAGCCATATGGGCGCATGTCGCCAGTATGCTGCGTTGCTGTTTACATGCATGAAAAGTGTGTTTGAGAACGAGTCTGATTGCATGTCCGACTGCAGGGAAGACGAAATTCTGGGGAAAAGGTATAAGTGCGAGGATTGTACCCTTATCTGAAGTTCTCATTAGCAGAGAAGTTTCCCTGGATGTTTCTGACTGCATTGAAGGCCAGATTCAGGGGGAAAGGGATGATTCCGCGGATACCCTTCCCTGACGTTGTCATAAGCGCAGAAGTTTCCTAGGGCTGTTCTCATCTAGCGCCAGCTATGTAGCTAACTACCCCAGACCTCGAGAACTACATTCTTCGACCGAATACAATGTATGATCATTATAGTTGTATTCGGGGTATGTTATCTTTCAGTCTAAGTACAACTAAAATGACCGTACGTTGTACTCGGGGGAAGAAAGTAGGAGGCATAGTGTGCACTGCATGCAACTGTGGAGATCGTAGGCTCCCCTCCCTATCTGTTTGGTGCCAGATAATAGACTACTGTCTTGAACCTGGTTGTTTGTTGTCAGATGACCAACACTTGCTCACATAGACTTCCAGGTATGCCCATACATACACAGAAGGAAGGGGAGAGGATGGGAGTATCACACCGCACAGGGGAAGATAAACACAGCGGAAGACTTGACCATGCGATATGACAGAGAGCACTGAAAGTGCAATTCGCCCCACAGAATCCTCACAACCAGTCACAAAGGAAAGCCGAGTAGATCACATCCAAGAAACAATGAAGAAAAGATAGTTCGCACCCAGTATTCACACTGTGGTCAACAGGTACCCCCACTTTTCACCCCAGCGCCACAGTGTCTGATGATGATGATGAAGTGCCAGGGGACTTCCCAAGTGGAAGTCTGTAGCAGCGCCACCTCTCCTGACAAAGATGAGCTCTGAGGAAGAAAGCTGCAGCTATGGGTGCAGCGCCAAACTCCCTGAGACCATACTCCTGAGGAGGGTTCAGCAGGGCACCACTTCTGTCGCCTCCAGCAGACTCCAGATAGCTCAGACCTCTGAACAGCCCCTCGTGCTGGCAGAGTCCAGCGTCGGTCCCAGCTATGGCCGACACTCCGCAGGTCCAGCTATGTCCGCCTCCTCCAATTCTGAAGCTGTCACCACTTCCAGTTCATGCGTTGCACAGCAGCGACGTACATGGTACCAACTGCCAAAATCCCCGAACAGTCTTTCCTAAACCTATTCATAGTCTACTCTACCTTAGACGCGACCTAGACCAGACTGATAGGATTCACCAGCATCGTTCCCATTTCGGCCTGTCGGACTTTCCCTACCCGGCTATAGGCTATAGGACCGTCTATTGGCATAGGCCATTAGGGCCTGTCCATCCTAGGGGTAGCCCGGGCCTGCTATTCGCAGTTAGGGTAGCTGTAGGAAATTCAGTTAGTATGGGCCTATAATTCTCCTGAATTTGCAGTTATGCCCCTCACGAATTTCCTCACAGTCAGCGGTCGCGGTTAGCCCTCAGCCAAACAAAATTACGAATCTGGCCTACCTATGGTACAGCCTCGACGAGGTGGGCTACAAGCCACTAAAACCAGCAAGTCATTGCACTACAGTCTCCCCCCAAATACAACGTACGGTCCTTATAGCTGAATTTAGACCGAAAGATACACCAAATTCAGCTATAATGACCGAACGTTGTATTCGGGGGATTACTGTAGCCTCTGACAGAATGAAGGGTTAAATGATTGCTGACACGGTATGATCGGCGGATTTACTGGTTGACTGGTTAGCTGACTTGCTGCTTTCAAGAAGTCAAGATAAGTGTGGTGGTACTCGTTCTAGCTTGTAGAAGGGCACCGCCATATGAAGTTATCTGGACTTGGTGTTAGTTACCGCAATATGCTCCTATAGGGTTGTTCTTCACCCGAACAGAACATGCAGTCATCATAGCCATTACTAATAGCCCACTGCTCTAATTGGGGGAGAAGAATGTTCAGTCTAGATGTACAGCAATGATGACCGTGAGGCGTGCGTTCTATTCGGGTGAAATCAGTAGGGGCCCAAATACAGCTGTAGTGATGTGGTGTTCGACTCTGGTGAAGACGGTTCTAGGTGAGGTATTTTGTGAAGCTTGCAGCTGCCGAGATTGTACACAACTGCTGAGATTATAAAGTCACAGCATGCTTGAATGTGAACTGTTGGCCTCTCACCAGATTGTCGGCCTTGCCGCACCACTCACCAAATTGAGAATGACAAAAACTATGGCGGTTGTACCTCCACATGTCGTATGCTGAGGTGCATTTCCATTTTACACATTTGGCGAGTA